TTGGTACCTCTTCTTCCTATTAGCAATTGTTTTTGAGAATTGTTGTATTCTTTGTAACCTATAGAAGAATAAGTATATATCTTCAAAACTATGGTCCTATTTTGAAAATGTTTGCCTTCTCAGCAAGAAAAAAAGGAAACTTCCCCAAGAATCAAAGTTAAGTACAGTGTCTCAAGTACAGTCTCAAGTACATTTCCAGAAACTGATGAAACACAAATTCATGCAGATTGGTAGAGGTACTTCTACTCATGATGAATTGGTAGAACTCTTTGCTCTAGAAATAATGACCCTAGTTAAATCTCTGAAGTACGTAGGTCTCCTCAGAGATGTAGGGGAGTGAGTCACTTGCATCCCTGACAAAATGTGATACTCAGCTAATTAGTGTGGTTTTGATGATAACACAGTTCTGCCCCAAGCTCTTGTAACTAGCAAGTTTGCCCTGAAGATTATTGAATTACTCCAGTGACCATGCATTATTTAGAGGGAAGTGCTGCTATTATAGGAGCCAGCTGTTTAACTATTGGAAGTCTGTCTGTTGGCCCATGTTTAAAATAAAGCAGTGTGTTATGCCTAACCCTTACATTTGCTCATAGTGGACTCAAAGTCTAGGTTAAGTGGTGGCCGGCTTGTCTGCTAAGCTGTCTTTGATCTATATGCTAGATGACCACTGAACCAAGATACTGTCAAAATAAGTTTATTAGTGTAAGATTTCAGCGTTAACACTTTGTCAGCAAAACTTCTGTGGAATGTTACACCATCTAACAGTTAAGTGTGTAGATGGTAGAACTCTCAGATCACATTTCACTGGGAAAGGTACTGTCCCAGTCACCTGCTTTTTACTGTTTCATTGGATAAAAACATGGAGAAGTATTTTGAGCATTCTGGAGAACACAAATGATAATTAGAAAATAAATGTCCATCTTCTAAGTTTAAAACTATTTGAAACTCTTTCATGAGGACAGTGGGTTTCTTAACTATGCTGAATATTTAGCCAAGATTTTCTGTAGAACCGCTGGAGTGAAAGAACCACAGCAGTCATCCATTTCCCCATGAATCCTGCTCCCAACGTCAGTGACAGGTATTTGTATGGCCTTTACTTAGCTGCTTCCTGCCAGGAGTTCATTACATTTCAAGAAAGTCTGTTTTAATTTCTTCAAATTGTTTAAAATCTTTTATGTTAAGCCAATTTTGTTTTCTGCTTCCCTGATAATTTTGATTCTACCAATCAGAATAAAAACATGTAACAAGGAGTTTTCAAAGGCAATGATGTAACAACCAGTTTTAGTTCATATAAAAAATATAATGACTGAAATTTGCTGTAATTTAGATGTGATTGAGATACATACTTTATCAATAGATCCTTAGGAGATTTGTTTGATTGCCTATAAGATAAACTATTGCACTAGGCTTTCTGTTTTAGATCATAACAGTAAGTACTTTTATTGTGGTTCTCTATAAAAAGACTTATATGAGGTAGTTGATGTTAAAACCTAAAACTCTAACCCACAACTGAGACCCCTCAATTGCTGGGAGTTAATGATTGCTGAAATCAAGCCAATGGGACAGTTCAAAGGATTAACTAAGCTTTAAAAAACAATAGGTAAGCATTTGCTATACTCATACATTCTGAATAAAGTATTATAAGTCTGTTGTAGGTAGTTATTATGAATTGACAAAGAAAAGACATCCCTGTAGAATTGGTAACTTGAGCTAACTAGTTCATGAAAAAAATCCACATATGTATTCCACTACTCAAATAGCATTCAAAGAAAGATGCAGATATAAGATAAAGTCAAGCTCCTCAATGGAACATTACAGAAAAATCCTAACTCTCTGTTTCACAATCTATCAGTCTGTGGACCAGAAAGCACAGATACCTTTAGAACATACTACATCAAACTCTAAGTTCTTCCAAGACATACAGCAAGCTAGGTACTGTGATGGCATGCTGTGCCTTGCTATGGTGATGGTTACCGTCTGTTTCAGAAGACCAAATAGACCTGTAGTAGTCTAATGGCTCTTGAGAGTCACCAAGAAAGGTCATGTAGTGCATGGAAATGGCTTTTGCTGATCCCAAGATAATGGCCTCTTCCCTTGAAGCAAGCATGGGTCGAAGAAATAAAATTGAGAAGTGCTTGCAATAGAAATCTTAAATAGGTCCTACAATCCACAATCCATTCCTCTCTATTTTCAAGCCATAAGCCTGAGTTGTAAAAACAGTTGTATCTGAACTAGCCAAGTTTGGAAGTTTATAAAAGGACTCATAGAACTCCATTCACAAATATCAAATAAGTATTCCATAACCAGCAAGTAACTCTTTATGCATGCCCTTTAAGAAATGTGTGTATGGACAAAGGCCAGTCATTACCTCAAGGTTACTGTTGTGATAGGTACAGTATAGAAACAGGTTTCTTCTGTCCTTTTCTCCACCTGCAAAGAGAACCCAAATATATGCCCTAGTCTTAACTGACTAGCCAGTTAGAAAACTATCTAGAAGTCCTTTGTGGATTACAAAAGCCATGTACATCCATTAATATCTTTCCTCTAATTTATAGTCCCAGGAAAAGATTATAAAAAACAAGAAAACAAAAGTACTGTTTACATTGCCCAAGGGACTAGCTGAGTTTCAACTTGCCAGGGCATGACTGGCAAGCAAAAGCCCTAAGTCCACTTCATGTTAGTCTTCCCTCCAATGGTAAGGGAAACCCCAGCTGCCAGTCCCTCCCCAAGCCCACAACCACAAGCAGCCCACAGCATCTGCTGGGACAGAGAGAGAGAGCAGACCTTCCCAGGAAGACAGCAAATGAACCCTCATGAAGTTACTACCTCCAGCTGCCCCGAGAATAAACCTTTATGTGAGGCAACAAGGTTCCTGTGCCAAGCATCAGGAAAACATTTGGGTTCTTAGAGGACACCATAAACAGTCGGCCTTTCCATCATTGAGGCAGACAAACTAGTATGATAGCAGGCCATTGCCATGGACCTGATCTCACCCAATGAGGAAGTGGAAAATATGCATGAAAACTTTGACTTTCAGAATCCCATTATTGATGGTGTCATTATTTATGTGATTATAAGACTTTAATGCCATGCCATCTTGAATCAGGAATTAAGAGTGAGCATATGTCAGGTTGTTAATTAGATTCTTAAAGGTCAGTAATTCACAAATTTCTTTCATGAAGCCTAGATATCAATGGACAGATCATAAACAGCCCACATCCCAAAGGATGTAAGGGATCTTAGAACAGATCAAGATTGTGTATGTTTGATACAGTACTGTATATATAACATTTGATCTACAAAAGTTCTATAGTGGCAGAAAATGATGTTTTTGGCACATGTTAAGTTCTATGTAAGTTTGTTTTACCTTTTCTTTTAATTCCATAAAAGTGTGGTCAAAAACATGATCAAATCAAACCAAAACCTAGCCAAGTAAAGAGGTCTAATTGATTTGTAAATAATCAAAGGAGGTTTGATATCAGTGTTCTCACTGGTGTTTAGTTCCTTCTGTCCTAGTCCAATAGTTACACTGTAAGGAAACAGAACTGGTTGCTCTATGCTTTCTGGGGTGATTGTGCAAGCCCCTTTCCTTTCCCACTAGTATTGTAATCAGTTCTGAGTTTCTGGACTTCTGGATATGGTCAATAGCAGCAATGGTTTATCATAGATTATTTAAGATCTTAGAAAAGAGAACCCGAGCATGCAAATTAATATGTAGTTAAGATCTCTTTCTGTACCAGGTGCTGTACATTATTTAATACATTGTTTCAATTTAGCCTCAATTATGACAAGAAAGATGTTATTACCCACTGTACAAATAGATTGAGACCTACAGGAACTTAAGTGAGTTTTTTGGAATTATACACCAGTATCTTCTGGGCTCCATGAGGGTCTTGGACTTAACAACAAGTAAAGCAGAGTTTAAATCCTGACTCCATCAATTACTGCATGAGTGACCTTGGGCAAGTTATTCAAACTCTGAATCTCAGTTTTCACATCAATAAAATAAGGATGTATTTCTAGACTTCAAACTTTGCCTATATGCAATTTGATTTTACAATAGAAATAGTTGAGCAAAGAACATTTGAGCCGCCGTATGTTCAAAAACTGTATGCATTCACAAAGTCATTAAGAAAACTCAGTTTTACTGGCAGTGGGTCTAAGACCTAACACTAATGTACAAACTGACATAGTGGAGCCCATTCTATATGGAGAGATACTATGCCAAGCCTAGACACAGGATTGTGGGGGTGGAGAGGTGCATTGGTCCTGCCTCAACTAGATGATGGGACAGACTTAGTAGGCTTCCTATTGGAGGCCTTACCATCTTCGTGGAGCAGATGGGAGGAGTGAGGAGAGGAGGGAGTGGGAGGAAAGGAGGGAGGGGGAACTGGTATTGGAATGTAAAAAATAAATTAATGTAATAAAAGGAAAAAATCAGTTTTCCCACATTGTGTATTAAATGGTGTTGTTGCTCAAATGTTTGAGAAAATGGTCAACCTAAGTACCTTTAGTTGATCATTATATAGTATGTATGTGTTCCAAAGTGTCATACTATACCTTCGCAATACCTACAATCATGCCAATTCAACAACAACAAAAACAAAACAGTATGTTTACAAAATTGTTAAAAATCTGATATGTAATTTGTTTTAACTAGCACTCTTAAAGGTCTCTCAACTAAGACAATAGAAAGAAAAGTGATAGAACTGCACATAGACAAAATACTTGAATATAAGTTGTTGAACACATAGGCAGAATTAATACAAATAAAAGTAGATGGTGAATTAATTCTTGCACATGAGTGTGGTATAACTCCAGGGAGCATACTGGAATCTAAAGGAACATACTGGCTCAGACATTATTGGAGATACTTCAAGAAACGGGTGACATGTTGGAGAAGTATAGAGACTTGCTGTAGGGAAAAGAGAGTCATCAGAGGCTAATGGAAGTCTGTGAACATAAGTAATTCTAACTCCAGGCTGCTCTGATTTGTGCAGACAAGCCCACAGGCTATGGCTCCAGCATTCGGAGGGCGCCTCAGACAGGCATTGTAGATGAGTGCTGCTTCCGGAGCTGTGATCTGAGAAGGCTGGAGATGTACTGTGCCCCCCTCAAGCCTACAAAATCAGCCCGCTCTATCCGTGCCCAGCGCCACACTGACATGCCCAAGACTCAGAAGGTAAGCCTGTTTGAATGGAATGCAGTCATTCTTGAGTGTTCTTTCATACAAGGGGCGGGGGATGGAAATTCTGTCCTGTGTTTCCTAGATAACAAGTCCAATCCCACCAACAGAATGACTTCCAGGTCCATCCTTCAAATCACTCTCTACTGAAAATTATCTTTTTCACTGCCCTGGACAATCTGACACTTGGAAGATGGCGGGGGCAATGGCTAAGCCTGTAGAAACTCATGCTGCCCAATGAGCATACCAAGTCTTAGCTATCAATAAAATTGTGATAATGATAGTATTTCCTATAACAAGTTGTCAGAATTCAGTAAGTTGATAATACTCTAAGATGCACTCCATGTACAAGTGGATGCCTTGTACTGTTAGATAAGGATTAACATTAGCCATAATTGTATCTACTAACAAAATTTGTAAGTTTGGAATTCTACAAAAGTCCAAATATAGAAAAACTCACTACTAGGACCTCTTTGAAATTCACAGTGACAATTATAAATTAAAGGAAAAAATACTGACAATGGACATACTCTGTTTGGCTGTAGGAATGCATATATGTTTCTAATGATCAAAACACAAGGCATCCTTTGTCCAAGTATTTATTGTAAAGCAACCTCAGAAACACCATCTGTGTGATCAGAAACAGATAGAACATCCATACATGTTGGCCACTTGATACACTTGTGAATGAATGAATGAATATATCAGAGCCTAAGCAATAGATTATAGTCCTTAGATAGAAACAAGGAGAAGATAGAAGAAAAAGTAATGGGAAGGAAAGAACAATCCTCTCTAGGTGTTCTGGGGAGCTCTGCTGGAAAAAAAGTGGCCAGGTATGTTCTATCATTGAAGCAAACCCAACATTGTGCAGAAAGCACAGGATAAGAGACACTTTTGCTATTTCCTGGTCGTAAACCACAGCTGAGGCTGAAGGAGGACCATGGTGCCTTAGGGGAGATATCACCCCAGTGAGTCACCTGAAGGGGACTTGGTTGGTATGTACAGAACACAGTAGGTACAAGAGTCAGAAAGAATGTCAGTGTGTGAATGGAGAGCAAAGGACTGTTCTGTTCTTTCTAGTTGAAGAGGACATGGGTATGAGAGACGAGGTCCAAAGTTATGGAATGTCAGCTCTGGAACCTGAATGGTAGAGTGCTTTCCAGCACCAAGGCTGGCTCCTCTTTTCTATGGAGCCCAGGCTTTCTGGGCAGACTCAAAGCCTGTCTCCAGCTCAGGAACCATCCATTCTCAATGCAATTATTTTTGTGATATTTGCAGTCCCAGCCCCTATCTACAAACAAGAAAATGAAGCCTCAAAGGAGAAGGAAAGGTGAGCCAAAGACACAGCCTGGAGGGAAGGAGGGAGCAGAAGCAACTCAGCACATCAGAGGAGAGAAGGAAGAGCAGAGAAGGGAAAGCAGAGCTAGGAACTGTTACCACAGAGGCCAAAAGGGAAGTGACAGAGGGGAGGATGAGAAAGAAACATACAGCACCTTAGAAAAGCTATAGAGGAAATGAAGAAAAAGATCCCCCACTGAGCTAGATACTGTCTATGAGGGAAGTAAAAATAACCTACTATGGAATGCATAATCACATATGAAAAGAATGGAAAAGGAAAATGCAACACCTCAGAAAGTACAAAGTAACAAGAATGTAGCATCAAGAACAATAAATAAACAAACAAATAAATACATGCCAACAAGATGCACCCTTCCCTTCCTTAAAAAAATAAATCAGAATAAAAATAAAGATCACATTTTCCCATGCATTCTAAATTTTGTACAAATCTATTAGAGAAGAATTGCCCATGTAAATATATGTTCAGAGTTAAATATTAACCCTAAATTTGCAGCAACATTTATTGTGTCATGGAAGTTCCCAGATTTCTTTCTGGATTTCATTGGTGACTCTGCTTCTTAGTCTGGCCAGGGCTTAGGCCAAAGAGCATCCAGTATTGACATAAAGTCATGTGAGGTAACCTTTAGAAGGTCTCTGAACTTTTATTTTGTACTTTGGTATCAGACATTAAAGATGTATTAGTTTGTTATGGCTGCCGTAACAAGGTACCACAGACTACAGAGTAAGTGGCTTAATAAACAGATATATTTTTCCAAACAGTTATAGAGAATGGAAGGCCACATTCAAGGTATCAGTCCCTTGGAGACAACCCTCCTGTGTCTCCACAATCTTCCCTCTGTACATATGTCAGTGTCCAAATATTTTGTTTTCATTAGGATATCAGTAAAACTGGATTGGGGCTCGCCCCTAATGATATCCTTTGAATTTGATGACCTCAATCAAGGCCATGTATCTAAGTGCACTCTATTTTTGGGGTACTGGGAATTAGGTCCTTAAACATAAATTTTGTGGTAGAGCATAGCAGTTAACCCACAATAAACATATCTGATATTGAACTGTATCATTTGATTGTATATCCTAGAAATAACTTTTCAACTGTCCATCTATCCTTTCTCTCCCTCCCTGATTCACTCTTGCTACACACACACACACACACACACACACACACACACACACACACACACACACACCTAGATATTGAGATCCCAAATCATATGAGCTTCTTCATTAGAAAACCCCCATGCTATGTCAGCACTGGTAAGGGCCTTGGAAGCCTTTTGATTCTGTCTCTTTGTTTTAAAGATCAAGAGATCTGGACATAGGTAGAAATGTACTTAGCTTCTAAGCTTCTTCTGGGCAGACAAAAACACCTTATCAACATGAATCAAGTACCAAAGAAAGAAAGGGAGTAGAACTGGACACGGGAAGCCTTCCATTAATTAGACATTTTTCTGCCAGAAGAAAGGTTGTGAATACGAGCAAGAGTGCTGAATTTTCTGAAGGTAAAGAATGTGTAATTCAACTCACAGAAAGTGGGTCTCAGTGACCTTTGCCCTTACTTCCCTTGACTTAATCAGTGCAAGCAAGATCTTCATGGAACAAAAACAAAAATCTCAAGATTATCCAAACTGTGAATTGCCACTCTACAGGAGTGGAGAAGACAGTAGTGCTCAGCCAAGTTCATATGTGGGGTGATAAAATGACTGAAAGTCACAGAAAAAGACTTCATCTATATAACCTAGAAGTCCTGGTATAAAGAAGATCACTGCTTCTCCATGGATCAATGAAAATCTTGGATTTCTTCAATATTATAGAGATGTCCAGAGCATAAAATAGGACTTAAAGGCTATTAGAAATATGTGTCAAAATCTCCAGTGAAAGCTAACCTACTTCTGGTATCATTGAAAATGGACCCTAGATTATCAGGAAATGATCTCTTCTTTTATGACAGCACGATTTGGAGCCAGCCTCAGGCAAAAGCTGACGCCAATGTCACATCAACTTAGCAGAGCCTTCAGACACAGACAGTTCTCCAAGAGACCACAGTTCAGCAAAAGAATTCAGAATTTATAAGCCTCATTCAAGTAAAACTTAAATCACTAGAGCTTTCTAGTTAAAATAAGTTCTCATAGCCCTGGATTGTATATTGGAATACATATCTTTTTGAAATGGGCTCTATCCATGTAAAACCAATCCTTAACATGCCTACGTAACATTACCATGTAATAGGAATCCGCAAAACATAAGGCATTGTCCTTTCAACTTATTTTAGTAGTGATATCCAAGGACTTAGATGTATATGCATGACATACAAGACTGGGTAGATGGAAGGATGCATGGATGGATGGATGGATGGATGGATGGATGGATGGATAGATATGTATGGGGGTGGGTGGATAGGCAGTCAGACAGATGGACAGATGAATGCTTGGATGGATAAACGGGTGATATAGGCAGACACATAGCAGTAGAAAGATAGGCCACAAAAAGTAGTAGAACTATTGAGACTAAATGATTCCTTCTTTTCTACTTAGGATACTGTGGCAATCACAGGAAAAATAAGAAAAGGCAGAGGAGGTTTGCTGAGATCTCACATATTTGAAATGTCCTTCTTTAGTTTAAATTGAAATTACTCAGACTTAATGCGACAGTTTGTGATTAGCTAAATACTTCACAGTGATGTCATTTATTCACTCAGTGTTTTCTTGAAGTAAGTAGAGTATTAGCCCTTATTTACAATCTCTATATTTCAGCTTCAAGTGTTTCTGTTAAGGCAAATTGATAATTGTGTTTAAAACTAAATACACAAGGAATCATAATTCCGAGACAATTTGATTGAGGATCTATGACTCTAAATGTCTAAATGAGGCATAAAGCTTTCAAATTTCAGAAGCAGGCTAATATCATTAAGAACAAGGAACACCCCCAGACTGCCTCAATGTAAGTGAAAGCTCCTTTCCTAGCTGTGTACTCATGGGCAAATTATCTAGCTCATCCATGTCTCGGTTTCTTCACCTCTCAGCATGGTAACAACTGAATCTGTCCCATATAGCTGCTGTGAGGACTTACTGAAAATATATGTATTTTGCATGTGTATACATATAAATGTGTATGTGTATACTCAAAACGGTGCTTACACATAATAAACACTATTGAAATACTAGCTAGTATCATTGTACTTCTGAATATTAGAACAATAGAAGACTCTGTAACATGAAAACTAAAAGACCCAGAGACAGATACTGGGGTTCAAGCTAAAGATCAGGAAAGAAAAGCAGTCAAGCTAACAGGGAGCTCTTACCTCTAACACGGCTGGGGCATTCCTATTCTCAACGTGACTGGAGAATGAATGCTGATACTGTGACCTTGCTCCTGTCTTATATACCTCCCTAGTGCTGGGATTAAAGATGTGTGACCCCAGGTGCTGAGGTCATCTTTGTATGAGCTGTTTCTCTTTAGGACTGGATCAGTCTTGTGTATATCTGGGTGGCCTTGGACTCACAGAGATCTGTCTACCTCTTAATCCTGATTCCTAGGATTAAAGGTGTGTACTACCACCTCCTAGCTTCTGGCTGCTGGAATTAAAGGTGTGTATCACCACTGCCTGATCTCTATAGCTTGTGGCTGACTTTGCTTTCTGAATCCTCAGGCAAGCTGTAATAAATCATAAATAGTATGTCACTATGAGAGTCCACTGGAGAAGAAGTATCTCATATTGTCAAAAATATCAAGTCAAAGTTTGATAACAGCTCCGTTGATGTGCATATATTCTCCAACATAGACAGAAGAGGACTCAATGGTCTAAGATTCCACCCAGCTTGGAGAATACCTGATTCTGTGAATAATTCGAAATTGAACTGTTAGTTCTACTCTCCCACATGAATAACTGTTAACATTTATTTTAGAGTTTCACAATGAACTTTTCAGAAAGCCACCACTCTTTTCTCAACCAGTTAAAATCAAATATAATGTGTGTTTTCATTCCATGTTGCCTGGAGAATGTTTAACTGTAGAATGGATTCTAGATCTTAATAGTTTTAAGTAAAACTTCCAAAATAAATAGAAATGTGGGCTACATGCAGCTTCACACAGCTTCCGGGACACTTCCGTTTCTCGGGCTGCCAGTCTAGTGCCTTTCCCCAGCTTCTGGTCTTTCAAATGTCTCTTTAAAACAAACTGACTTCATGCAGTTTCGAATTTGCGCTGTTAAGATGTAAGCATTTGCAAAGGAGACAAAGAAATAGCTCCCCAAAACTAACCCCTCTGCTAGCATCTCCTTTCACCTGACGGTGGGAAACAGAGCTTCCTAAGGTAACACAGTCTGCTAGTGTTTGGGGCTATTGGACTTTATAAGGGCATATAACAGCTAGTCTTTTTATTTCCCTGCTAGAAAGGAATCAAGCTTTCTTTGAAATATGTAATACATAACACAAAGTTGGCTTTTCAGCCAAAATGAAGTTGATAGCCTGAAATTAAAGTGAGGGCTTTTGAAGGCTGGGGGAAGAGTGACAGTTTTGGATGAAGCACAGTTCCGTCTTTGTGAGTTTTAGAATATCCACTATAGAATTTCTTTGCTTAAATGTTACCTCCGAGCTGAAAGGCCAGTTATTGTTTCCTTTGACCTAAGTAAGAAAGGACACCTGCTGTTGGTTAAAGAAGATGCTTCCGGAGCCACCAGACATGCAAGAATGACACCAGCTTCCCTTTTCCAGGGACCTGATTGAAATCAGAATTCTTCCCTGCTGCCCACATGCTTAGGAACCCATCTTTAATGAGGGTTCTCAAAGCCTTTGGGTCTCATCTAGCAACCAAGATATATAATTAAGAAACGTCAACTTAGGTTAACACTCCAGAAAACAGAACTGGATGTTTCAAATACTGGGGAACTGATCAGAGACATGGCATAACAGATCTATGAATCCATATGTGATACACAGCACCTCTAAGAAAGTTCCCACCACGCCAGGTACC